GCCCACGAGCACGGAAACAAGCCAAGTCCTAGCAAGTGGCAAACACTCCCAAGCCACCACATTCTGTCGCGTTTAAACCGAGCTTGAGAATGTGGGAGAGTTTTTAAAAAATGCTAAGTCTTTACCTTGATCTTTCTTGAGTGGGTCTAGAGCCATGCCACTCAGAGTTGAGATGGAAGAGAAACAAACAAGATTTGCTCTTTAACTGAGGCCGAATTGATCATGTGAATGATAGTTAAGCACATTTGAATGTACTTACAGCATGAACATTGAATCATCCACTATTCAGCAACATAATAAAGATGCTTGCTTGAAAACTGTCCCTTCAGAAAACTGAATGAGCATATAGCTGTCTTTATAAAAGAAAGTACAGATTGCAGAGAAAATACTATGGAAAGTAGGTTTAAAATAGAATCAAATATCAGAAAATGATGGAAAATAAGTGCCAATGCTTATTTCCTTCAGTAATCCTCTTTCCATTCCTGGACATTTACTCCAGTGAGAAAATAACGTTATTGGGGGAAAAAAAGGCTGTGTATGAAGATGCTAATTTCAGTATGACCTGTGCGTGCACACACACACACACACATAAAAGTAAACAGAATTTACAGCAAACAGGACTGAATCACTAAAGTACATTGCAGACTATTTTCATAACTAAAGCATCTTGAAACTACCAAGAATCCAAAATAAGAACTTACATATAATAAACACACTTATCCGCCTTGTCTTTTAGAACTAAGTTTCCGGCCAGGCACAGAAGCTCACACCTGTAATCCCAGCTGTTTGAGAGGCCAAGACAGACAGATCACTTGAGGTCAGGAGTTTCAGACCAGCCTGGGCCAACATGGTGAAACTCCATCTCTACTAAAAATACACAAATTAGCTGAGAGTGGTGGCACATGCCTGTAGTCCCAGCTACTTGGGAGGCTGAGGCAGGAGAATTGCTTAAACCTGGAAGGAGGAGGTTGCAGTGAGCTGAGACTGCCACTGCACTCCAGCCTGGGAGACAGAGTGAAACTCCATCTCAAAAAACACCCCCAAGACTACATTTCTAGTATGTCTTGAATGGAGCTGACTAGCTGGCTGGAGTCCAACAAACCAGTGAATGAGGTGTTAGATTTACCATCTTTGCCATGCACAATTATTTCTATTTTTGTTGCAATTGTATTGCTTGAGGCCAGTGTTTCCTATCACTAATATCACATTTAAAAAATTTCCCTTTGTTCTATAAAACAGTTTTTTTAAAAACAGAATAAAACAGTCTGGTAATTATACAAAATCTGCTATGCGCAAAGGTAAAAGCAGCTCTATTGGCAATGAAGCTACTGGCCAGCAGGTAGAATTGGGAACACGTCGCAGGAGCAGTCACTTTTCATATCCAGTGTACAAAGGTAAACTTCAGGGTCTGAAAGGCCATCTGCAGTGGTCCTGAATGAAAGGCAGAGTTATTTTAAAGGTGAATGCAACAAAGCTAAGGACCACTGACATGACATGACCCCTTGAAGCATTGTGCTACCATTTATAAAGCAATTAAGCAACAACGTAGGCATGAAGATGAGGTGGAGGCTGGGCGTGGTGGCTCACACCTGTGACCGCAGCACTTTGGGAGGCTGAGGCGGGCAGATCACAAGGTCAAGAGATCAAGACCATCCTGGCCAACATGGTGAAACCCTGTCTTTACTAAAAATACAAAACTTAGCCGGGTGTGGTGGTGCATGCCTGAATTGCTTGAACCCAGGAGGCAGAGGTTGCAGTGAGCTGAGACTGCACTCCAGCCTGGTGACAGAGCAAGACACTGTCTCAAAAAAAAAAAAAAAAAAAAGATTAATGAGATGGATCAACGGCACTAATATGAACAGAACACCAGTGCATACTGTTCGTTGTTAAAGGCAAGAAGCGCGACAGCTCTTTACTCACAGCTCCTATTTGTGTAAAAGCTTAAAAAATGTATCTTATAGCTGCATTGATAGTTTCTGTAGGGACACCCAAGAAGCTGTTAACCGAGGATGCCTCTGAACTAGGAGTTGAAGGCTTGGGTGTTTCCTGGTACTGTGTGGCTGGGTGGGGGTAGTGTACGAGATCTGAGTTGACACAGGCTGCTACTACATAAGGGCCTGTGGACCAATCTAGATGATGACCCATAAGTGAAGAACGATTGTATTATCTTAAAGACTGCCTAAACAAACAACAATATGGAACAGAGATTGTATTTGGCCTGCATAAAATACTATCTGGCTCTTTATGAAAAGAGTTTGCCAACTCCTGGTCCAAGCGAGAGAATATAATGAGCCGACTAAGAGTGGGACTCTGAGCTTAGTCTGCCTGGGGTTGATTCCTGACATTGCCACCTACTAGCTGTATAGCCTTGGGCAAGTCAGCGAGGCATCGCTTCCTTGTCTGTGACAGTGGAGTAAGAATAATACCTCTGCTTCGTGAGCATGTTGTGAGGATGTAACAATGAGAAAGTGCAGGTAGAGCACTCAGCACAGGGTCTGGCATATAGATAGTCAGTAAGGGTTGGCTAGTATTATCAGTATATATATTTTATATATGTACAGATATATTATTTATTTTATTTTATTTTTTTGAGATGGAGTTTCACTCTTGTTGCCCAGGCTGAAGTGCAATGGCACATCTCAGCTCACTGCAACCTCTGCTTCCCAGGTTCAAGCAATTCTCCTGCCTCAGCCTCCTGAGTAGCTGGGAATACAGGCACGCACCACCGCTATGCTCAGGTAATTTTTTTGGTATTTTTATTAGAGATGAGGTTTCACCATTTTGGCCAGGCTAATCTTAAACTCCTGACCTCAGGTGATCCACCCGTTTCGGCCTCCCAAAGTGGTGGGATTATAGGCGTGAGCCACCGTGCCTGGCCTATCTGTATAATATTAAGAGTAGAATTTCATGGGGATGCTGGGAATATCAATTACATGTCGATGCATACATACATGTTATTTACAAATTGCAGTGGGGCTTGGCAGTGTGCACCTGTAGTCCCAGCTACTCGGGAGGCTGAGGCAGGAGAATCACCTGAGTTCAGGAATCAGAGTCCAGCTTGGGCAACAGAGTGATACCCCCATTGCTAAAAATATTTTTTTTTAAAGAAAAAAGCCCCCACCAAATTGTAAAGTGCTACATAAATTAGGCAGAATAAGCTGTACATAAAGAGAAGTCTAAATCATAAAAAAAAAAATTGAGGCTATTCAGAAAAAAGGCCAATGTTCTGAAAGAGAAAAAGGTGGATTGTTCTAGATTAAGAACTGAGAATTGACAAACAACACTTGGATCAAAAAAACCAACACACAAACAAATAACAACAGCCAGAAAATCTAAAAAGGCTAATTTTGGAAAATGTGAATGGGGGCTAAACAGTAGAATGGCGTTACTAAATCAGTGTGAAATGTTCTTAGATATGATAACTTGTGGATATTCTTCTGTGTTCTGTAGAAGAATGTCCCTGTTCTTAGGACACATGTAATGAAGTGTCTCTGATTTGGCCATTTATTTTCAAAGAGTTTAACCACAACGATAAAAACTAAATGTGTTCTGGAGTCTAAATATACACCAATAGATACACCCATATATGACAAAGTACCAGAAACCCATGATCTAGGTGACAGATACGCAGGGACTTACTGAATAATGCCCACAGCCCCCATATTTTTCCAATGGTTTGAAAATGTTCAAAGTAAGTAGTTGAGGACAAAATTCTAGGGTAGCTAAGATATTCACATATCATCTATACAAGAGAGGCAATGATGGGTTACTCAGCCATAAGTTCCACCAGTGACTTTAAAAAAAAATTTTTTTTTTGAGACAGAGTCTTGCTTTGTTGCCCAGGCTAGAGTGCAATGGTGTGATCTCAGCTCACTGCAACCTCTGCCTCCCAGGCTCACGTGATTCCTGTGCCTCACCCTCCCGAGTAGCTCAGATCATAGGCATACGCCACTGCGCCCAGCTAATTGTTGTATTTTTGGTAGAGACGAGGTTTTGTCATGTTGGCCAGGCTGGTCTCAAATTCCTGGCCTCAGGTGATCCATCTGCCTTGGCCTCCCAAAGCGCTGGGATTACGGGTGTGAGCCACCATGCCCAGCCACACTAGTCACTTGTATTATTATTAAAAAATACGAATGGATTTTTATAAGGAAGCTCCCTATTTAGTGCTTGTTTCATTTCTTTTTTCCTGTTCTACCTAAAATTTAAAAAGGCACAGCCAGATGAAAATACAACCTTGAGCTTCATTTTCTTTATGTCTGGGTAAATTTTTTAATATGATAGCCATTTTAATTTTTCTTTTCTTTTTTTTTTTTTTTAAGATGAGGTCTCACTATGTTGCCCAGGCTGGACTCAAACTTCTTGGCTCAATTAATCTTCTCACCTCAGCCTCTCCAGTACCTGGGAGTACAGGTATGTGCCACTGTGCCCAGCTTCTTTTACCTTTCTAAATAGTGAATCTTTTTTGATTCATGACAGACGTGAAGTTTGTCTGAAAGCTCCAGCTTTGCTCACACAATATACAAGTTAACATGAAAATAACATGTAAGTGGCCACTGTGGGCTCAGCATGGGAGGCTGCAGGCAAGGGGCTAGGCTCTGCTACCTGGAGATGAGGGCAAAAACCGATCAGGACAGTTAGAGTGGCACTGAGTGTCTTTGGGGTCCAGAGGAAGAAGGAATTAGCAGGGGCTGAGGTAGACTCATATCTGGCTGCAGAAGTTTGCTGGACACAAAGTGACGGATGGTGCTATCAACCAAGTAAGTTGATTTCTACTACAAAGTCATTGTCACCCATCTTTGGATGGAAACTGGTAAGGAGCTTTACAGCACACCTATTCCCCACACTTAAACTTATATTAAACTTTCCCATCTCAAACTCCCACTTCAATGTTATTCCACCTTTACCTTTATTAGAAAGTCACAACTAAAGGCAGTCAACATCCTTCATCACCACAGCTTGCTTCCCAACAGAGCCCATTCAAACAGCCCCGCAACACTCACCTTGGGCACAGCGTCCACGATGCCTGTTCCCTTCATGTCGGTGATGTGGAGCAGCTCCCCTGAGCTCTACAGCTGATATCTCCGCTTCAGAGGCAGATTATGCAATGTCACTGCATGCTTCTGGCTGGTTCTCAGAAACTGAATTCTGTGGAGCTATCTGACAACTCATGGGAAATGGTCAAAAAGATTCTCCCAGCGGGCAGACTTTCTGGAACACACGATAAGAGTAAAATGAAAGCAGCGAAGGAGGGGAGGACCAGAAATATAAGCCACACTCACGCCTCAGTGCCTGACGTCTCACTTTGTCTATAAGTAGAGACTAACTAACTCATTTGCTATGTGAAACCGCAAAAGAAGAAGAAGAAAAGAAAACCACCGCTCTTCTGCTTTATAGGGTGAAGTTCCTACTTTGAAGAGCTCCGTGTATGAACACACAACATTCTTGTCCTTTGAACTCTGTGGAACAACTCCCATTGAACAGACCAAGCTCATTTCCCTGATGAGAGGCCACTAGGCCAAATATCTGATAGCGGTCAGCATTTCTTCCTTCCTGCTCCCTAGAACTTGCCTTATGACAGCCAGGATAAAAGCCATCAAGCAGGCTGCCTTAAAGGACACAGTCTCCATGCTTCCCTGCCTGTCAGTTGCACATTCTCCCTGCTCGCCTCCTGGTCTTTGCTCACCGTACCTAATGATGACCATCTTCTGGGTGCTGGCTCTGCACTGAGGGCTATGCTGAGCCCCACGCATGTATTCTCTTTCTAATATCAAAGACTCATCCTGTGTGCTGTACTTGAAACTCCTGCTGGCTCATGCAGTTGCAACCATCACTTGCCAACTCTTTTTACTTCCCCTAAATTCAAATCCGATCTCTAGAGAGGACCTACACTGTGGAGATACTGTACAAAACAAGTATGCTTTTTTTTTTTTTTTTTTTTTTTTAATGGGATGAAGTCTTTCTCTGTCACCCAGGCTGGAGTGTGGTGACACAATCTTGGCTTACTGCAACCTCTACCTCCTGGGTTCAAGTGATTCTCCTGCCTCTGCCTCCCAATCAGCTGGGATTACAGGTGCGCCCCCACCCCCGTCCCCCGCACCATATCCGGCTAATTTTTGTATTTTCAGTAGAGATAAGATTTCACCACGTTGGCCAGGTTGGTCTCGAACGCCTGACCTGAAGTGATCCGCCCACCTCAGCCTCGCAAAATACAGGTGTGAGCCACCACACCTGGTGCCAGCCTGCATTTTTATTTAAACAAAATGGCACCCATTCTTCCAAGCCAGGCTCAAGTTCCATCCCCAGCCAGCTCTGTCTCCGCTCACTGCTCTCTTCTTGTCAGACAGCACTTTTTTATTTTTTATTTTTAAATTTTCTTCTTTTACCATGCCTCCAAGACAGGGTCAACAGGCAGCACTCAGCATCTTGTCTTCTGGTTGCCTCATGTGTAGTCCCCACAAGTCTGGGCACCAGGATGTATTTACCCATTGAAATAGCTGACTGATTTCTGGCCGAGACCATCCATATTTTTATTTTATTTTTTTGAGATGGAGTCTCGCTCTATTGCCCAGGCTGGAGTGTTATGGCACGATCTCGGCTCACTGCAACATCTGCCTCCTGGGTTCAAGTGATTCTCCTGTTTCAGCCTCCTGAGTAGCTGGTACTACAGGCACGTGCCACCACGTCCAATTAATTTCTTTTTTTTTTTCGTATTTTTAGTAGAGACAGGGTTTCACCGTGTTAGCCAGAATGGTCTCGATCTCCTGACCTCATGATCTGCCCGCCTCGGCCTCCCATAGTGCTGGGATTACAGGTGTGAGCCACTGTGCCCAGCTAATCCATATTTTTAAATGTTATCATTGTTAGAAATTAACTTCCAGGGGGAAGTAATTGACGTGATGCAGGTGATAGCAGTTTAAAGGGAGGGAACAATGACCCCACAGATGAACATTATTTGGTTCAAGGTGGAGATCCAGAGATATTAAGATATGAATTATATTATTAATAATTAATATATTACTATTATATTAAGATATAATTCAGGTACCATGAAATTCACCCTTTTTTTTTAACCCTAAGTTAGAAATTATCTTTCCTGGGAAAAATTCACCTTTTTAAAAGTATACAACCTAGTGGTTTTTAGTACATTCAGAGTTGTGTAACCACCACTCCAAAAAGTAATCCTCTTTCAATTCCTGGACACTTACCCCATTAGCAGTTACTCATCATTCTCCTCTTCCCCCAGCCCCCAGACACTGCTGTTTCTGCTCTATTATTGACCTTTGTTTGTGTCTGAAATTCTCTACAATAAAAAGGATGAATAAACTTGCCCAAGATCACACAGATAAGTAACAGATCCAGAATTTGAATTCAAGTCTCTTAGGAAAGACTCCACAAAAACTCAAGTTCAGATGGTTTCCATCACCTTGGCAAACTCCTGGCAGTGATTCTTCCCCCATACTGAAGAGCTTCCTCTTAAGCTCATAATACAGATGAGAATGCTATAATTTGCAGGTCATTTTTTTTTTTTTCTAGAGCAAACAACCTAAACGAGAAAATAAAAGTAACTAGTAACTAGTACACAAAAGTAATATGCTTTGGCCCTGAAATGATACCAACTAGCTCCTAATGAAGATAGTTTGGTATTTTGTGAATAAAGAACTTGACTTCTCAGTCTATTATTTGAGCCCCCTGCGGTTTTTCTGAATGAAACGTCTGAGAAACTGCTCTAGACATTTTGCTGCAATCCATTAGTATTTTAAAGCAAATGAGTCTTTCATGTGGACAAACATTGCAAGAGCTATTATTCTAGGAAATTGGGTACTTGCAAAATATCCGGTTGTTGAAGGCTGAAACAGCTAGAGTTCAAGAGAATCACGTCAGGAGGACTCTAGAGAGGTAATCTTAATGTTCTTGACAATTGTGCTATCAAGAACAGTATTTTGGACGAAATTTTCTTTTCTGAGATAAGTGAGTCTGATCAATTCACTTCTATAGTGCCTAATACATGCGTAGGGAGGAAAATAGCTTTTCTATGTTTTTCTGTGTGCCTTTATGTTGTTTTCGTTTGACAATCAAGCTTTCTGGCTGGTAGTAGTGAAACACTGAGTACTTGATACTTGAATTATAAAGGACCACTGAAGGAGGCTGAGGCAGGAGAATTGCCTGAACCTAGGAGGCGGAGGTTGCGTCGAGCCGAGATCACGCCATTGCACTCCAGCCTGGGTAACAAGAGCAAAACTCCGTCTCAAAATAAATAAATAAATAAAAAATAAGGGACCACTGAACACCAGACTTTCAATGTTCAAAACATTAAAGGCTTGGCGGAAATTTTCAGGATGTAATCTCATGAAGATTTTTCATAAAAATAGCTCTTTTGGTCAAAGGTGAATTTTGTGCATTGGCTGGGCAAGGTAGCTCAGGCCTGTAATCTCAGCACTTTGGGAGGCTGAGGCAGGCAGATCACTTGAGGTCAGAAGTTCAAGACTGGCCTGGTCAACATGGCGAAGTCTTGTCTTCACAAAAAATACAAAAATTAGCTGAGCATAGTGGGGCACACCTGTAATCCCAGCTACTCGGGAGGCTGAGGCACAAGAATCATTTGAACCCAGGAGGTGGAGGTTACAGTGAGTGGAGATTGCCCCACTGCACTCCAGCCTGGGGGACAGAGTGAGACTGTCTCGAAAAAAGAAAGAAAAAGAAAAAAAGAAATTCCATGAATTGCCAACAAATTCACCAAATATCCTGGTGCAGGGATAGTACTGGGAGGGCTGGGGAATCTGCAGCCACTTGAGTTATTAGTGATTATTCAGTTTCATCGCCCACGTTTGGACCCCAGAGGTTGACTGGGAAAACGAATTAGGGCAAAAATTGAAAACAAGGATGCAAAGGAAATGCTCTGGGTACAGAGTGGGGACAGGAAGCTGGAGAGAAAGGCTGAATGCTGGCGAGAGAGCAAGAAAAAGCCAGGCAGAAAATGACGCTCCAGGCAAGCGGTCCTTATTGGGGAGCAGATAGTGGCAGGGACTTGCTTGGCCAAAAGACGCCTGTGAAAGAGGCTTCACGGAGTCAAACACATTCAGGGAGCAGAAACACCAAGAGTAAGAGCTCCAGGGAAAGGCCAAAGCAATTCAGGATGAAAGAGAGAAACACAGAGGAACATTCAAATAGGATGGTTTTCCACAGGTTTTTATTCTTTAGTTCAAACCTGCCCAGTCCCTTGTGCAAGTGTTTTTTTTGTGTGTGTTTTTTTTTTGAGATGAATTCTTGCTTTGTTGCCCAGGCTGGAGTGCAATGGTGCGATCTAGGCTCACCGCAACCTCCGCCTCCGAGTAGCTGGGATTACAGGCATATGCCACCATACTTTGCTAATTTTTTTGTATTTTTGGTAGAGATGGGGGTTTCTCCATGTTGGTCAGGCTGGTCTCAAACTCCTGACCTCAGGTGATCTGCCTGCCTTGGCCTCCCAAAGTGCTGGGATTATAGGCCACTGCACCCGGCCTTGTGCAAGTTTTTAAACCCTTGGTCCCATTTTATTTTGAGACATTGGCTCGCTCTAGTTGCTCAGGCTGGAGTGTAGTGGCTTGATCCTGGCTCACTGCAACCTGTCTCCCTGTCTCAATGATTCTCATGCCTCAGCTTCCTGAGTAGCTGAGACTACAAGTGTGCACCACTACACCTGGCTAATATTTTTCTATTTTTGGTAAAGATGGACTTCCCCCCTATTGCCCAGGCTGGACTTGAACTCCTTACCTCAAGCCATCCATCTGCCGTGGCCTCCCAAAGTGCTGGGATTCCAGGTGTGAGCACTGGGCCCCACCCCTTAGTCTCATTTTAGTTACTCTTGTTTTAGTTCTCTGAATATAATCTGCATTTAGTAATTACACTAGGACCCTGCAAACCTGATTATTTTCGCTGATTCTTATTATGGTGGCTTGTTCCCTCACATACCTGACTGTGGTGACACTCAGAGGTTTATCAGGGATAATTACTTGAGGACTGGGGTTAGGATGTGTTCTTGCACAGATAATCTGTGCGGGCCTCTGCCAGACACTTATGGCCCGCATCAGTTGGAGAGTGCTTTAAGATCCCCATTTGATTTTCCCTGAGCAGTTGAGGTAGCATAAATTGCTCTAAACCTGCTTGAGGAACAGTGTGTGGATTGAATTACAGGAGACTCTCCCTTGTGCCAACACGACACCCTCTCTCCCAAAACCCCCGAGTCAGCACCAAGCAGGCAAGTGTTTCTTGTTTCTCTCTCTGAGGCA